GAGAAGGAAATCCCAAGCAAAGTCATGCAGGTAGACAATGTTTATGGCCTACAAGGAAATTGGTTTGGCACAGGTAAAGAATCTACAGGTGAACACCAGGAAACACAGTTGGGCAAAGCTGCTTGGGGCATGGTGTTCTGGCTTTATGTGCAGTACACAACTCAAGAGACTTTGTGGACTATGGATACATCATAGGAGTGATGTGATTAGGATTGAATCAGAGTGAAATTAATAAATGGAGTACAGTAGATAAAAAAGGGAGGCAGAGGTACCACTTGGGACTCCACTTGAAATGGTTTAGACAAGAAGAAGTGAGGGCAAAGCTGTAGGTGATGAAGAGGAGAGATGGATTCAACAGACACATGTGTGACTGTACAACATGGATGAAGGATGGGAAGACTCAAAGATAGCTGGTGTTTTCAAACACAGCTAAGTAAGATTAAATCAACTATTAGGAATAAATAAGGAAACTTTACCAGATCAATCTTCAGGAAGCTGTTGTGCAAAGTCACACATACAAAAACTATTCATCAATATATGCAGTGTTAGAAAGAATTTATAACAACAGAAATCTAGAATTTTGATTCATTTCATACTAATTAATAAAATGAAACACAATATGTATAAACAATCTTACTTCTTTGCTGTAGTCACTCTCTGAATCACTGCTAAGTTCCTCAGTATTCATATTTTCCAAATCAGATTCCCCAGGTGCAATTGGCACTGTCACTGTGAGGCTGGGATTATGAATAAATGATTGACCATCATTTTCTTCCATCAAGTATTTGTCCATTCTACTTCCAAATCCATTGATTTTATCTTTTTCCTTGTGGAAATTGTGATCTTTGCTCATTTCAGCAAGTGTACGGTTAGAAATACAGTTTTCCTTATTAGTATTTAGATCTTCTGCTGGTTTTATCTCCCTGGAAATCTTTGGCTTTTTGGAAAATGCTTTTAGAATAAATTCACGTAAAGTTTGTTTCACATAATTTATTCCCTTTTGGATTCTGGCCACCGCAATCTGGAGGTTGTTTGCATCAGTGTCTTCTTCAATTGCCGTAAGATTGTCTGAACTAAATGAGCTCAATAATAAAGCCAGAAATAAGTTCAGGACCTGTAGCAGGATGGGGATGAGAGTAGAGAAATAGGGAGACAGGAAATATAAAAAAGAAAATAAGCACACTTATCTGAAATATAGGCCACAATACAAACCAGCACTGAAAATTCCTGTACCTTTTCACATGCAGATAAGAACACTTTAAACAGATAGAGGAGAGGATACCTTACCACTCTCTCCATAGACTAGCCCCTGCAAATTCTGGGGAGCAGTCAGCTTTACCCATGAGGAATTATCATGGGGAGCAGTGAGAATGTTCCCTCACCATTATTGTTATGTCATTTCTAAGTTTATTTCTGAAGCAGGAGTCTCTTGACCAAATTCCCTTTTATGAACCTAAAAAAGCTCTCCTAACATTCACTTAACAGATTACTATTTGTTACCTGTGAAGAACAAGTTGAACAAGAAAATTGTAACTACTGTCTATTGTGCTGAAGTCATTTAGGCCTAAAGTCTGTGTTCACTTTACTCAGAAGATAAATGTCACTTGTTGCAATAAATGAAGCATATAACATTCACAGAGTTCTTGTAATAAAATATTTTGTCCAAGATTTGTGCCAGCTTGCAACTTAATATGGCTTTTAAAGTGCAGAAAAAAACCCTGCTCATTTAACTTGATTAATTTTAGATAATGACATTATGATTGGCTGGCCTCATTGCTGATCATTTTGGCCCTAGAAGAGGTTACAAAAGAAG